CCATGATTATTGTAGAAATCCTTGTACAAAAAATTATTGTTTTGTCACTTTCTAAAAGACGGTTCAGTGGTTGATTTTGCCTTAACAAGGTGCTTTGTTGTATCTTATAAGCATTTTAGATTACTTCCTTTTGCATATCAAATTTGGTGGGAGCGGAATTAATCTAAAAGAAAATCACATTTATAGCATACCTTAAAGCCTTTTTACAGATTTGGTACCCTATTTTCTACAACAATCTGCTAGGTGGAGGGAAATAGGAAATTGTGGGCATTAATAACGAAATATTATGGTATTTTGTTTTAATTAGAAATTGCTTGGATGAAGGGTTTTGGTGGCTAATTAGGAAATGTAATCTTTTTATTTATAGTGTTAATATTTTGGTTATAATTAAAAGGATTTAATTGGATTGGTAAATTTGGATGGGATTCGTTCATTGTGTCCCTAGTTAAGTTTGTAGTAATTCATTTTTATGAATGAAATTTATTTTTCCATAAAAAAAAAAAAAAATCATTACTCTTTAAAGATTTGGTGTTGTAAGAAGCACTTGAATTATAAATATTGCAATATGTTTGCTTTTATTTTGAAACTTAACAAGATATTGAGATATGAGATCAGAGTGACAAATTAATACTTGAAGAATATATAGAAAAATTTCCTGTAGACCAAATCAATCTAAAGTTATTCAAGTACCTAAGATGCATCAAAATGCTCATGACTTATCCCTGCAAGATTCCTCTTAGTTCATAATGTATGTCATAATGTAATGGATGTTTCATGCCTATGCCCTCAGTGAATGTTTCATGCTTTTTTACTGACCAGATGTGTGACAAAACTATGGGAAAACTCAACTCTTTTGGCAAACAAGGAATGATATTATAATTGCATAAGATTCCTAATTTTGTTCTTTGCATTGTACTTGGATAATATCCAGGTATATATCAGTTTCCTTGAATCTTTGAAAACTCATCCTTGAAAATGATATGCCGTTTTATCCTCCTAATCTCACAGCTATATATACCATTTCTTAGTTCACAGAGTTGTGCATCTTCCAAAATCCCATATTCTTGATTTCTCAGTATCCAGACTATCATCATCATGGGCGTCTTTACTTACTCTAATGAATACACTTCCTCAATACCTCCAGCCAGACTCTTCAAAGCCGTGATTCTTGATTCCCACAATCTCATTCCAAAGCTTGTGCCTCAGCTTATCAAGAACATTGAATTCACTGAAGGTGATGGAGGAGCTGGAAGCATCAGGCAGATCAACTTTGCTGAAGGCAATAATATCATACCCAAAATTTCCTGCAAAGTTTTTCAATTATCAGAAGGCTGAATCCATGTCCCAAATGGCGGCGTGACATATATCTCAACTATATTTGTCTATAACTACGAAAATTTGGGTGTGGATTTAGGGTCTAAATATGTGTCCTTTATGTGGCTGGGGACGCAAATCCTAATTTATGTTTCTAGATATTCAGACATGAATTTGGTCACCCTTTCAATGCTAAGGATACCATTGAAGATAAACTAACGCTTGTATTTCTTCGCAGGTAGCCAAATTAAGTACGTCAAGAACCGGATTGATGAGCTTGATGAGAAGAATTTTTTGTATAAGTATAGTTTGATTGAAGGGGGAGAGTTACTGGATAAGCTGGAGAAGATTACATATGAGGTAAAATTTGAATCCACACCAGAAGGTGGGAGCAAGAACAAGATGACAAGCACATATTACACCAAGGGAGATATTGTGCTCACCGAAGAGGAAATTAAGGCTGGCAAGGAAAGGGTATTGGGTGTTTACAAAGTGGTGGAAGGCTATCTCCTTCAACACCCTGATGCCTATGCTTAAGATGCATCATAATGCTCAAGGGTGTAGCTTGCTTTCAGTGTGACATTGGAGCTTTTGCCTTAATTGCCTTCAATAAGGATATTTGATCCACTTCTTAAAGTGGGTTAGCTCTAATCTTTCTTTTTACCATAATAATAATACAAATAGACAACTTTTTATTTCAATGTAAATCATTGATTATAATATCTCATTATGTTATTATAATTTTTGTTTTTATAATATAACATTATTCTCTTTTAATTTAAATTTTTTTTAACTTATAAGTAATTATCTTCATATAATCAATTATTAGAATCGAACCTAATAAAACAAAATATAAACTCTCTTATTAATTAAACCAATCTTTTTAAGGTTTAATCTAAAATCTTTAACGATTTTTTCGTTTTTCTTTTCTTTCACTTGAAAATGAAGTCTCTATACCCTCTAGAAAGTCCATTGCCTATTTTCAAAAAATATACCCTCTAGAAAGTAGAAACCTTTTCTGCGATTTTTTTCTAATTCTGCGGGTAAGCAGTCTAGAAGATCAACGGAGTCCTTACGACATTGTAATGTGAACAAGTCAACATTTGGCAGCCGAAGACATCTATCCACCAAAAATTTTTGACCATATTTTCTAAAGGTAATGAATGCATACTCTGCGTAATCTTGACCAAGATCTTCGCATCTTCATTCCTGCACATATTCACTCCTCCAATTTCACCACAGCAGATCAATAGATTTCCCAAAAAAACATGGGTTTAACCAGAATCACTCAGACCTTCAAGACCCAGGTGACTCCAGCCAGGATGTTCAATGCCCTGATTCTTGACTCCCACAATCTCTGCCCCAAGCTCATGTTTTCTTCCATCAAAAGCATTGAGTTTATCCATGGTGATGGAGAAGTCGGCAGCATCAAACAGATCAACTTCACTGAAGGTAAGAAACAGTTCTGATTTCTGATTCATGTGAAAATATAAAGAGTGTTCGCCAAATGACTGACAAAATGTCCCTGTGAAATTTTTTTTTGTTTTTGCAGCCAGTCCTTTCAAATATGTGAAGCATAGGATCGATGAGCTTGACAAGGAGAAATTCTTCTGCAAATACACTTTGATTGAGGGAGATGCGTTGACGGACAAGCTTGAGTCTATTACCTATGAAGTCAGCTTTGAAGGGTATGGTTATGGAGGCTGTATCTGTAAGACGACTAGTGAATACAAAGCAAAAGAAGGAATTGAGATTAGAGAAGAAGACGTTGAGCTTGGGAAGGACAGAGCTATTGGCATGTATGAAGTTATAGAAGCCTATCTCATGGCTCACCCTCATGCCTACACTTGAAGTTATATATTCAATTCTGTTCCTGTGTGATGAATGTAATAGATTTCAGTATTGAAGTTTGTTTATTTTTTCCACTTGTAATCTTGTTCTTGTTCTTGTTCTTAGACAATCATGTGAAATAGAACATCCCCCCACCACCCTTTAATGTATATTTGGAGCCTATTGTACTGAATCAGCAATCATCTTATCTATAAACCCTGCAAATCTTGATAAGCCTAATTTTTCCATCTGACTCATGCAATCAATTGAAAAAACTTAATTCTTGATTCCTTATATAGTTTAAGTTTCCCCTACTAATTTGAAAGAAAAAGGGTTTTGAGGTTCAAGGTGTTTACTCGGATCATGTTTATACTGAAATGTCATTATAATGCCCTCTTAATTATCAACATTTCATTAATGACATTAGCTTCATTTCTAACCTGGACTGACAATTTCTCTTAACTGTCTGGATTGAGAGAACATTTTCTGATTTATACATAAAACTGCCTAACTATAATTGATTTATGCCAATGTTTTTCTTGATGGGTTAATGTTAAAAGTAACTCTTCTAATGAAGAAGACCTAAGTTATGGAAAGAACAACCCAAGTGTAGAAATAACTTTAAAAGTTTGAATATAAAGGAAGTTTTGCAGCCCATGTGTAGAAATATCTTTTAAAAGTTGAATATAAAAAAAGTTTTGCAGCCTACAAACATTGAAATTGAAAGTCTATGAAGACTAGGCATTTTTTCTGGTTACACTATTTGAAAACCTATCCTCACACCAAACCATTTCCATCTTTAAATACAACAGAATGATGCATACCGTTACCCAAAAACAGGGTAAATTGAATATCAGTCTTTTCAATTCTGCTAAACCATGGGTGTCACCACTTACACACAAGAACTCTCTTGCCCAATTAATGCGGCACGGATGTTCAAGGCCTTGATGATAGATTCCAACAAATTGATCCCACAACTCTTACCCCAGTTCATTAAAAGTGTTGATCTAATTCAAGGAGATGGAGGACCAGGCAGCATTGAGCAAGTCAACTTCACAGAAGGCAAGCATACATATTTACCAAATCTTCCCTTTCTTCTTAGTTTTACATTAAGTTCACTAGATTAATACAATTTTATTGAGTGCAGCTACCCATTACAAACTTGTCAAGCACCGGATCGATGAACTTGACAAGGAGAACTTGGTCTGCAAATACACCATGATTGAAGGTGATGCATTGGGGGAGAAGCTTGAATGCATTAGCTACGAGGTAAAGTTTGAAGATGGTGGTGATGGAGGTAGCGTGTGTAAGATGACAAGCAATTACCATACAGTTGGTGAGTTTGAGATCAAAGAAGAGGAAATCAAGGCAGGGAAGGAGAAGGCAATTGGGATATACAAAGTTGTGGAAGCATATCTCTTGGAGAACCCTAATGCCTGTGCTTAATTAATTGGTTACTTTGTGTGTCAAAAAAATTTTTTTTTTTTGGGAAAGAAGCAATTATACAACTATTTTATACTTTTAAAGGGAGAAGGGGAGATGGTTTGGTACAGGGTTCCAACTCAAGACCCCTGCCCGTTGAACTTTTTTAAAACAAGCAGTGCGGAGTGTGGTGTGGTGTGGTGTGGTGTGGCAAACATGTAGTTTACGTATATTTGATTTTTTTTTTTTCATACAGAGTACAAGGAGGTATAAGTTTTTACGTGTGATTATTTTTAGTTTTGGATTGATTCTTTTATTAAAGAATGTATGAGTGAGATAAAGAAGTGTGTGAACTATGAATACCATTAATTTCATGCAAAAAATTCATGAGGTTTTTTGGTGCAAAATCACATTTTATTTTGCCAGTTGGACAAAGGAAAAACAGAGCAGCACTAATTGCTTAAACTCTGTTTTAGATGACAACAAAAGCAACCGTGTATGTCTCTTTTCTTCTCTTTTTCTGACTGCAAGAACCCACCGTTTCCCCATCTGTCTTTGCCAACCGCCGTAAGGACACCTGATTTTCTTTTAAAAAAAATGTGGGATTATTGCAGGAAGCAACTCTCTCTTCACTGTTCGGGCAGAGGTCGGGTTCAATGACAAATAATATGAAATTGCAGAAAATGAAAATAAATGTTGTGAGGCGTTACCTCACTTTCATTGGGGTTCTAAAATCATTCACAATAAAATAGAGCTCAAAAATTTTTTAAGAAAAGTTAGATGTAAAACTTTGATTTTATATAGAAATTTATATGGTCTAAAAAGTTTTAATTAGTAGAAATATGTCCCTACAAAAAAACATCATTTTATAGAGGTATTTTTAAGTTTTCAAAAGTTATGTCTGATTTTCAAATACATTTTTCCAAATTCAAATTTAATAAATTAAATTAAAAAATCTAAAACTAATAAAAAATAATGTTTCTCAAGTGTTTATCTTTGACTATATATATATAAAAAGTAAGATCTAATTTACCTTAAATTTTACTTTACTTATCTATTTATTAACAAAATGTAGATCTTTATACTCTTTTAAATTCTCATTCTTTTTTTATATGAGATATTAATATTTATAAACTATTCAACATTTAATGTAATATTTGAATTCTCTAACTTCAGATATTAACTTGAAATGCTTTTAAGTCACCCAAAAAATGGCTCTCCAAAATGCTCTCCAAAATGCTCAAATTAGTAATAATCTGAGAACTTTAAAGAGAAGCTCTCA